CCTCACATGGCTGTAAGGATTATGGTATTGGAAATGAGATGAAAAACAAATCTGAACAGTCTACACAGATTATTATCTCTGTATGGTGGTACATGATAATAGTTATCAATAAAGAATAAAAGAAATGGTGTTGGAAGATAACCCACAGAACTGCAGATTGAGAGATACTGAAATAAGGTAGCTGGGAAAATGATTTGAATATCATGAGTCAAATAACATTTGAAGGCCTAGTTGAACATGTGGAGGTGGAATGTCATAAATGAAGCTAATGTGTCTCTTTTTAGAGCTTTGTCTCTTATTTTCTTACTTAGCTTCCAAGTAATTTGAAATAGTAAGGCCATATCTTTCTTTTTACAGATAATAAAATTGTGGCACCCAATATTTAACTTTGTTTAGTTCTAAAAATGATTTAAGGACAAACTTGTACAGAGGAAAAAAATGCTTTACAAAGATTTCTCTAATTTATATACATATATATATATATATTTTTAATCAGTTCTTACTGATCTTTTAAAAAATCACTGTCATTTTGTGCTGCAAACCACTTATTAATTGACACCAGAATGATCTTTCAAAAATGTGTTTGTGTATGTCACCTCTTCATTGCTTTATGAAACTTTACTGGGTAGTTTAGTAGGAGATGTCACATAATTTTAGAATTAATGTCATAAAAAGACAATAAAATACATTTTATCTTAATCCTGGACTAATATTACTGGGATTTCCTGGAATCTCATTTAAATATCAGAATGTGAAGGTGAGGTATATTGTAATAGTTACTAAAGTTATGAAATTCTGAGATGATTATTTCCTGAAAAAATATTTCAGAAGCTTATTTTCTGTATTTTATTATAAACATCCTTTTATGAAATGTGGACAGTAATAATTAGTATAATGCTATTTAAAAAGCTTGGTTGTGTAGAAACTGAAGTTGGGCTACTTGGGTTTAAAATCTGGCTTTACCCCTGGGTGTCTCAGAATATTTATTTGTAAAATAAAAAAGATAATGTTCATCTCAGCCTCAGAAGACTTTTGTAAAGGTTAGGTGAGAATACAAATAAGTTGTTTAAATCCTTTTAAAAAACTTAAGGTTAAATGAGATTATAAAGTGTTCAAAATATGAAGTTTTTAAATATTAAAAATATTTAAAAAGTGAATATGAAGTCCTGTCCCCCCCCACCCCACCCGCTTCTGATCTTAATCTCCATTGAGATGCTAAATGTAAACTTTCTTAGTGCTATTTTTGTTTGTTCAGTTCATTACTGAATCCACAGCACCTAAAAAAATGCCTGCGTACTTAGTATACATTTGATGGTGGAATGAATGAATGAATGAATGAAGTTGCTCTATTTTTTAGACTTGCTATCTAATAATTAGAAAATTTACCTTGAAAATCCATCTTCATTATGAACTTATTTTTTAAACAGTGAATCAAACCTTTTTGTTTATTTTCCATTTTTGATGTTTTATATACCATATTTCCCCATGTATAAGATGCTTCCATGTATAAGACATATCTTAATTTTGGGGCCTGAAATTTGAAAAAAAAATGTATTACATAAAGTTATTGAACTCAAGTTTTATTAACTTCTTTTTCATCAGCAATCCTTCATGCCTCATGCTGAACCATCTTTGTGGATACAGTAATTCCAATTGCCCTTTGCTCTTCAATCCACATCTTCAGTTCCCTCTCTAAATCTGGCCATTTTGCTGACTTGCCTCTCATGGCCTTCTTCTGCTGTGGCGTTTTCAGTATGGTTTCTTCTTCCTGTAGCCAGTCTCGGGTTGTTTTCTCTGTTGAAGGAGGACCAAACTTAGTTCAGCAGCACGGTTTCCATTCACTTTTGCAAACTGGATCAGTTTTAACTTGAATTCAGCACTGGATGAAAATCTTTTCTGAGCCATTTCTGGGCAGAACGTGGCAAAACGTAACCTACCATAATATACCGGTAACAAGTGCGAAAAAATGAGCACAAAGACAACAAGTGCGAAAAAGCGGGAAATGCAAGTAAAACAATCTACAACATTGAGCACAAAACGAGCGTGAAAAAAGCGGGAAATGGAAGTTAAAAAAAAACCTACAACCACTGTATAAGACACACCCAGTTTTTAGACCCCAAATTTTTCAAAAAAGAGTACATCTTATACATGGGGAAATACCGTGTGTGCTTGTTTATAACATTTTATCTAAAGTGTGGATTAATTTGTTTCAATTTTTAATTAAAGCACTCTATTATTTATAACCAAAGTATTTCCCATCTAATTCATCAGACCTAGAGTGAATTGCAATATCAATTGCTATAGTGAAGTGCTTTTTATGTCATTTTGAACAGTAATGAAAATATATTTGTATGGATTTATTTTCATCAAAAACATATCTAATTTTTATATCCTCCATTAGTGCTTTCCTTCAAAGTAGTGACTTTGCTCAAAAAATAATTTTAGTAGTTCCTTTTTACAGCCCCTTTTAGATCAAGTTTACTAATTAGACCTTTACCTTATTACTTCGTACTGATAGAATAATATCACTTAATATGGTATCTTCTGCCTGTAGGTTTTCTATTTCTTTTCTTATTTGTCCATTCCCCTTTTCCTTTCCTGTGTTTTAACTCAGACCTGGTCTTCTTTCTCCAGAGAGGCTAATTGACCCTCTGTAAGCTTGTTCTTTTGTTTGAGTTGCCTACTAACTCTTAAGTGCTTTAAGTGGATGTAATTGAGTGAAGCACTGAGATAGATGTTGACTAGCCAAACTGTTACTTGAAGCTTCTCTGCTCCTCTGTACAAAAAGAAAAAGTAAAAGGAACTACAAAGATAGCCATACAAACAAATTCCAAGACACATATAATGGTGCATTTTTGTTCTTGATCTCAATTTATGTGAAGCCAATATAGACGTTTTTTATATTTTTTTAACAAAAAATGCAAGTGTTTTATCTACTCAGTACGCATTTTCGAGGCCCTATTAAGTGCTTAGTTCTTTAGGGAGGAGTAGTATTAATTGAAGAAGTAGTCATAGTTCCTGTTCTCAAACAATTTACATGACAGTGTAGGGTTTAGCAAAATAGAAAAATAGACAAAGATGTAGGAGGACCAGGGAAGATATGATTGGTTTTGTCTGTGGTGGAGTGGGTCTGTGATATCAGGGAGAAGTTTGTGGAAATAATAATGTTTGGATTTCAGAATATATTTCCTAAATGGGACAAAAAAGTTCTAAAGGGTGAGCATATTTGTAGGAGAGCTTATGCTGTCATTAATCATGATTGTTCAGATATATAGAGTATTTATAAGAACAGATATGCTTGTTCTTCAAAAATTAGTGAAAAATACTTTATGTAAACAAGCAATAATTATTAAAGGAACATGCTCAATTTGTTGAAAGAATGGTTGTGCGGGAAAATTCATGAAGTTGATTAAAAAATTGCTGTCAGTTGCGTAAGTAGTTAAGCATGGCATTCAAATATGGACTTAGGTTGCTCTTGTGGTACAAAACCTCACTAATAGGCTAAATATGGGTGGACATTCAGTAGAAAAAATTCAATCAGTTCCATTGCTTTCATATTTTTAAATCCTCAAATAAAATATAATGTTTTTATTAGTGAAAAATTTTCCACCGATCTCTCTCTCTCTCTCTCTCTCTCTCTGTGTGTGTGTATATATATATATATATATATATATATATATATATACACACACACACACACACACACACACACACACACACACACCGGGGGGCGGGGTGGTGCCAAAAAATGTACACATTTTAGAGATGTTATCTATGTGTTTTTGAAGTTGAATTGAATTACTGTAGCAATTTGTAGTATGACATTTGCTCAAAAGGTGGCATTAATCAAATTAATCCTAGCGACATTCATTGTATTACAATTTTGATAGTTTTTTCCTTTCTTAAAATGTGTATACATTTTTTTGCCGCCTTCTGTATAATGGTAATCAATAGTGATTTTGTAAAGGACAACACAATTATAATTTTATGCTAATCACTATCTGATCATATCTAATTTCTTATTCATTTGGGGACAAAATTCTAATAGATAATGAATTTTGCCATTGATTTGGCACATATGATTAATTAAACTCCTGCTAATAGAATAATACTACTAATAGCATAATAAACACTAAGTATCATAAGATTAACTAATACAGCTGATTCTTGTGTAAAGTACTTAGACTCACTAGAAAGTTCAAAAATTGATATGACCAGTTGCAAAGCCATTAGAAAACATTGAAATTAAAAAAAATAACTTTGAAAGACATTATTATTATTTTTTGTATGTGAAATACTTGGCATGTATTATTAATTTAATAATGAAAGAAATAGAAAAATATTACGGCAACTTAAAGAAAGTGAAGATAACTCCCCTCGTCTGTAAATGTATCATTTAAGTAAACTCTTATATTTGTATTTATTCCTTTCTAATATTTTTAAAATAAAAATTTGTTTAGATTATTATAATCAGTCTCAGTCTTTGTATACATATGTACAAAGGGGATATGTATGTATGTGCGTATTTGTGTGTGTACGAGTATGTATAATTCAGTAGCAAATGTACTAAAGAGTTTCCCAATTTTTTTTTCCCACAAGTGTTCTTTAATGTTAAAAGTGATTAGTCACATCCTTGGATCTTAGCTTGAAGTGCTTGTTGCAAGAAATCAGAAAATATATTGAAACTCTCAAAATATATTTTAAAAACTCGTGTTCTTTCAATTAGGAAAATTTGAATTTCCTTACATACCAAATTCATTACCTTTTCTCAATGAACATTATAGTAAATTACATCATGGAGGAAACTGTGTCACATACAATTAAATTTCTTTTTTATTTCATGGTTTTTCTGCTATAACCCAAATGTAATGGGAGAAAAAATACACTGGCAAACAATAAGAAATACAAAAACCTACTCAAATAATTCTACAACTATGACCATAAAACAAAGTATTTTCTCAGTGTGTAATTAAATGTTTGTTTATTTGTTTGTTTTACAGAAATGTTTAAATGTTCAGTAAATTGGAGAAAAAAAACATGGATTTTTAGCAACTGAAGAGCAAATTAAGGTAATTAGTAGATTACTATTGTCAATCCATTTGTTAATAATTTCACAGAATTTAATACATTTATTTCTTGTTAGAATATTCTTTTGTATCATATTGAAAGTTCATCATATATTAATGAGTTACTAAATGAAATTTTATACATTTTTAGAAACAAAAATTAACATTTCTTGTGAACAAATATGTAAATAATAGTTTGAAGTATTTGCTGTTGTGAGCAAGTATACTTCAGCTATATTAAAAATAAATGAGCGAATATAAAATACTTTTAGTGGCTCTCTACCTCTTGGAAGGCAAATAACTATGTTACCTTCTTAAATGTCTAATATTGAAAAACTGTTCGAAGTTTTTTTTTTTTAATTGGCGCATGTATACCAACACAATCTACTCAAGTGATTTTTCTTTAATTTATCCCATTTGTTACCAATTACATACGCATGATACTAAATATGAATATTAGGAAATAAAATATATTCACTTTATAGCACCAAGCTGTTTAATATAAAGCAATTTATTTTCAGAAGCAATGTTTTTATTTATCACAAATTTGTCAATGGAGTAAAACATAAAAGTCCTCCAGGAACGTAACCTTAGACCAGTACACATACTCATATGTGCATCTTCTTTAGCAAATTATTTGAAGGCAAAACAGGCCTTATTAATGACCAATCAATAAAACTGGAATTTCCTCTCTTTTTAAAGTTACTAAAGTTAATTTCTGTAAAGCGACTTTGGAATGTCTAGAATATAAGTTATTATAAATATACAGCCTAAAATTAGAAATATCGTCTATATCAATTTTCTTTGTATTAAAATAATTCATTTATTTTAAATTACTGATATAAGTGTTATGCATTGGAAATTATTATCAATCTATTTTCAAAGGTTTTCAATTTTTCTTGGTACTCAAAGATGGAGTGAGTTAGACTATAAGAACATCACACTCACGTTTGTAGGCACCATATTTTCCAATTGCTCTTCTTTTTTTTGATATTTTTACCTTCATTTCTTTGTCACTGCTGTTTTGTGTAGATTCATTCACAATGCAAACAATTAATATTATTCGTATTTTCCAGTGTAGGTAGGATTGAATCTACTTTATTTGTATTTATTAACTTATTTATACATTAACATACACTTTTTTTTTTAAGATTTTTTTTTTTTATTGGGGAATTGGGGGAAGGGGAACAGAGAAGTTGCTGTCCTTTTGTTCTTCAGTCTAGTTGTGAAGGACGTTGCTTCACTGGCCCAATTTGGCACCATCATTGCACGCTTCCCGGGCGAGGCACATCAGTCGCCGGCTTCTGGATGGCCGCTCACTGCGGCTGCTGGCCGCTCATGCTGGCTGCTGGCTACTCATGGTAGTCCATGGCAACCCACTGCCACAGGGGCTGCAGCCTACGCCGTAGCCGGCGACTCACGGCAGCCCAGCTCCAGGTTGAGCTGTTGTTCAGCATCTTAGCTGTAGAGGGCAGCGTCACTGGCCCTCATATGTGGGATCCGAACCGGGGCCCTCTGGCATCCCTAGTGAGTTCTTAACCAACGAGCCACTTGGCCAGCCCTAACATACATTTTAGACATACTGTTACTGGAATATGAAACAGGTTTTTTGGTACTTAGTGAAGTAAATACAGTAAATAAAGAAAAACAGGCTGATTTAGTCATTGTAAAAAATTAAGCTAAGTAAGACTTAGATTGCTTTGGAGAAAATAAATGCTGGTGGGAAATTGAAGCTTTATAGAAATTATTGTATACATTGTAAAAGCATCGGCGACAAAGTGCTAAGGAAACAGTGGTGGGAGCTGGGCATTTTAGTTGGCGGATCATGAAACCTTCATGAAGCTGTGAAATTGCTGAGGCAGGAAGGTAAGGTCATGCATGTGTTGAAGGCCAACGGAAGAGCTTGTGAAAAGGAGCATAAAGAACCAAGGGATGGCTAATGAAGGGTTGCTCTTTCTAGGGTGGCCAAAGAATGAGCCACATGTGGTTGGACAATATTAAGAGATGAATCTGGAAAAGAGGTTTGGAACAGTCCTTGAAATTTCAGGTTTGGCATGCTAAAGCTTAATTTTGCAGCCTAATGTCTCCAGAGTGCCTAATAGAATAAACAGTATTTATAGGGTTTTGAAAAGAAAATTTCAGAACTTCTGATGCTTATTTTCATTAAGAAAATAAGAAAGAATTGAGACCATATAATATTTAATATGACTGCTACCCCCAAACAGGAAGTTTCTGGAGGAATCATAGGAATTTTTTGGTGTTGAATGATCGGCAGTGTTATCTTTCTTGTTTTTTAATTGAGTTATAATTCATATACTAGAAATACACCCTTTTAAAGTGTACGTTTCAGTGGTTTTTAGTATATTCGCAAAGTTGTGCAGCTATCACCAGTGTCTAATTCAGAACATTTTGATCATTCCTAAAAGAAACCTTGTATCCATGAGCAGTTAGTAACTCCCTGTTTCCTGCTCCAGGCACCAACTAATATATAATACTTTCTGCCTGTATGGATTTACCGTATAAATGGAATCACATACTATGTGACCTTTTATATCTGTTTTTTCACATAACATAATGTTTCTAAGTTTCACCCTTGTTGTATGAATCCATACTTAATTCCTTCTTAATGGAATGAATCACATTCCATTATATGGATATATCACATTTTGTTTATCCATTCATTAGTTGATGGACATTTGGGTTTTTTTACACATTTTGGCTTTTAAAAGTAATGCTGCTATACATGTCCGTACACAAGTTTTTGTGTAGCTGTATGTATTCATTTCTTTTGGACATGTACCTGAGGTAGAATTACTGGATTATATTGTAAGTATGTTTTACTTTTTGAGGAATTTCAGAACTATTTTACAAAATGGCTGCACCATTTTACACTCCCTGTGCAAATGTATGAGTGTTCCTGTTTCACCATATCCTTGCCAAACGTTATCATCATCTGTGATTTTAATTATAGCCATCCTAATGGATATCAAGTGGTAGGTATCTCATTGGATTTTTATGGCAGTGTTTGTTTTTAAGAATATTTTAGTGTGCTGACGTTACACGTTTTTGGATAAGTACATTAATGGAATCATTGTCAGTTTTTAGACTACTCATCATATTGAGATAATTGATTTTATGAAGTGTTAAATAAAAACAATGACATCAAGATTGTTGACGTGGGCATATAAATCGAATAATTAAAAAAAATGATAGAGCTGAAAATTTCCAAAATCCTATTATAGGATATTTTTCAAATTCACTATATGATATAAATGTTGATAATATACTCCAATTTATTAAGGAGCTACCTAAAAACTTAAAATAACTAAGAAGACTGTGAAATAGGGCTTTGCCTGTCATATCTTAAGTGATTAAACTTGTCCTAAGACATATTTTTGTCTTGAAGTTTACATTACTGACAGTACACAGCAACAAAATAGCAAGACTCTTAACATCTGCAACACAAATGTGAACCCTAAACACTTAAAATAACCAAGGAGACTGTGAAATAGGGCTTTGTCTCTCATATCGTAAGTGATTAAACTTGTCCTAGGACATATTTTTGTCTTGAGGTTTACATTAATGACATTACACAGCAACAAAATAACAAGACTCTTAATAACATCTGCAACACAAATGCGAACGTCTCTGGGTTTTTCAGAAATGTTTAAAGTCACGCTCAACTGAGTCATTTACAAATTTCCACAAAACTTTATGATAAATCTGTTTAGAAGCCTTATTTGAAACTTTTTGCAGGGAAGGAACACAATCATTGGACAAACCCTAGTTCTTCCTGCTGAGGTATACATGGCTGAAACCATGCAAGAACAATTATATGGCAACAAATAAAAATGTATTACTTTGTTGGAAGATGACATGAAGGGCATTGCTTTAATCAGAATAAATAAGTGTTAGAACAAATTTAGTAGAATGAGAGATTCATTTTAAATTTGGACAAAATATATGTATTTCTAATTTGTCATATGATATTTGCTAGATTATTTATAATCAGGTTTACTGATGTATAATTTATGTATATGAAACTCTTTTTAATGCACAATTGCTTTTCACAAACACATCAAATTGTGTAAATGCCACCAAAATCAAGATATAAAACATATCCATCACCCCCAGAAGTTCTCTTGTGCCCCTTTGTAGTCTGCATGTCCCACTGCTGTCAGCCTTGAGAACCTCAAATTTTATTTTAATAATAAGATAAAAAAGAAAACGAAATCCTTAGAGGAAACAGAGTAAAGAGGTCAAGTTTTAAATGCATATTTGATATATGACCTTAGAGGAATTATCTTTTCTGTGCTTCAACTTCCTCATCTGTATTGTGGGGTTAACAAAATTATTTACCACATACCATTTGAAATAGAGTTTGGCATATATCTAAGCACTGTATGTTTGTAAAGTAAACTATAATTTTTTGAACCGTAAAGAAAAGTTGTACTGGAACAATATTTTCCTCGGTAAATGACCTCTTCAAATGTATTTAATATAGTGTCAAACTAGTTTTCAAAATTATAAAGCCTATTCAGAAACATCACTCTCAAAGAAGTTTTAGTTAATGGCTCCATTCTTCCAGCTCCTTAGGCTTAAATTCTTAGAATAAATATTGAATTTTCTTTACACACGTTGCACATCCATCAGCACATTCTGTCTGGCTACTTCTGGGCACCTTGTTGGCTACTCCCTTGGTACAAATCACAATGCCCTCTTGCCTGGGGAATCACAACAGCCTTCTTTAGTCGCTCCACTGTTTTCGCTCTGCAGCACTCAAGAGACCTGTTCTCTCTTCATCGTCCTCTGCACTCCAGCTGCCCTGGCTATATCGCCATTCGCTGAACACACAGGCTGCTCTCTACCTTAGCCTACTGTTCCCTCTACCAGTCACTTTCTTCCTTGTTATCCCCATGGCTTATTTCATTCTCTTTTCAGGGCAGCCTTCCCTGAACATACTATTTAAAATGAAAACTGCCTGCCGGCACCCTCTGCCCTCT